TGGCAGGTTCATCAACGTTGTCTTCAGTTATCATTTACAGGGCTTCATTTTCGTCTGCATCATTACCTTTTTTAATTGGTGAGGGTTCCGCTAAGACAGCAAATTTATTGGAGCTTGTGCTCGGTGCAAGGTCCAGGGCCAGTTTTTTTTTAATAAGAATCGGAGAAACTTGGTTTTGTCTCTTGAGTGCCTTTGGCTTCGGTTTTACTTTCTGCCAGCTCCAAGCTCCAAACCGCGTCGTCTTCATCGTCTTGCATGGTAACAACAACACTTTGTTGATGCTTATCAGCAACCACCGTTATGTTTTTGTTGTTTCGCAAATCGCGTATCTGTTTTTGGTAGATTAAGCGTAGCTTCCGCGTAGAATTTAGGCACGTCTTGACTCGGAGAGTGTTTGATCGCGACTTATAAAAATGTAACTTTTCAATTGTGTAATTTTTTTTAAATTCTTGTTGACTTAATAATATTTTGACAGTTATAACACAGGTCTTGGCTCATATGATAAAGATTTGTTATATGGTCGAACAACTCTAAAATTCATATAATTCGAAATCTAGATGTTTTAAAGAATATTTAATTCTTGCAATAGCTGCAAGGGCATATTTCTTTCTTCCTTTCTTGTTAGAATATTAATATTAATGTTAATAACATATCATAGCTGGCATATCATATAGATGCCATAGAAGCAATCTAATAATTCAAGGGAAAATCATCATAGCTTCATTGTTTTTAGACATTTAGTCACAAATTTAAATATAGTTAGGAACGCTTTTAAACAGTCAATGAACTTCACACTTTTTACACGCTATAGAAAGTTTCTATGTTTTAAGAACCAACGATATGGCAATTCCCAATTGAAAACATTCTTATCATAGCATAAAGAAATTTCCGACGTTCGGCTTCAATACCCATAGTTAGCTGATGAGTCTAAGGTGACGATTAGACGAAACTATCTAGTCTTATATAGTCGAGTTTACCGCCTAGGGAGTGCAAGTGTGATAAAAGTTATCAAAACGTTGAGTTTTAGAAATTTAAAACCTACCATAGCTTTGTGTTTAGCAAGCAAAAAACTTCGATTTAAAGTTGTATTAAAGCATATTTATTACATATTATATAAAATTAATAAATCATAAAGCTCCCATGGAGACAACCGGAGTATAAAAAAAAATGAAAAAAACTATTGTAAATTCTCTAATTTTAAATTTTTAAAAAAAATCATTATACCCTTGCAGAGGGTATTATAATTTCAGTCAGTGTTTGCAACGCAGTGAAGGAGACATTTCCGACCCTATAAAATATATATATTCTTGATCAGCATCACTAGACGAGTCGATCTAGCCATGTCCGTCTGTCCGTCCGTTTCTATGTAAACTAGTCTCTTAGTTTTAAAGCTATCTGCATGAAGCTTTCCCAAAAGTTGTCTTTCTATTGCAGGTAGTATATAAGTCGGAACGAGCCGGATCGGACGACTATAGCATATAGCTCCCATAGGAACAATCGGAAAAATAAATAAACAAAATTATAACTTTGGTGTTTTTTATTTTTTTTTTAGTTCTTCGAAATATAGTAATGGTTAAATATTTCAGAATTACGGTTTAAATTTCATCAAAATCGGACGACTATAGCATATAGCTCCCATAAATAAAAAAAATTATAACTTTGCTGTTTTTAATTTTTTTTTTTTAGTTCTTCGAATTATAGTAATGGTTAAATATTTCAGAGTTACGGTTTAAATTTCATCAAAATCAGACAACTATATCATATAACTCCCATAGAAATAAGAAAAATATATAAAATAACTGTCCAATAATTGAGCTGCAAATCATCATAGCTTGAATAATTTTAAGCATGTACGCAAGTAAATCATAATTTTAATGTTTCAAAAATATTTAGTTCTTGCAATAGCTGCAAGGGTATATTAACTTCGGTTTGCCGAAGTTTGCTCTCGTTTTTGTTTAAAATCGTCTCATAGCTTAAACGTTTTTACACTTATAACAAATTTATTCAAATTTAGATGTATTAAAGAATATTTAAGTTTTGAAATACCTGCAAGGGTATATAAACATCGGTTTGTCGAAGTTTGTTTCCTTTCTTATTTTTTTGGTTGTTTCTATGGCAGCCATATGATATAGGCGTCCGATTTTTATAAAACTAAAAAAGAATTTGTAAAAACAAAAAACCAAAAAAGTTGTTTTATGCTCTTTGCAATGGTATAAATATAATATTACAATCTTCAATATGTTTGTGGGCTTTTCACACTGTTGTTTAAGATAAAGCCAAACCCTTTTATGTATACCTATATGCGGGCAAGAAACAACTTGAATATGCAACAGGGGCACATACATGTAAATGTTAATTTTGTTACTACGTACATATTTTTGTTGTGGGACTGATGGTTTTTTGTCAGAAGCAACCTAATTTTTAACCAAATTTTTACTTTGCGAATCGATAGGTATAGGTATGTTTGTATTAAAATTATTTAATTTTAAAATATTAAAGTAATATATTTATAAATTACAATATAATATTTAACATTAACCCTTGGAAAACAGGGTATCAAGAAACTATTTTGTTGAAGCTTGCTTCGTTTTTATATATGTACGTGAGGGTTAATGCCAAGTGTTATTTCTCTTGAGTCGTGTGACTAGTAAACATCTACATTTCGATGAACTTTATATATGAAAGGTTCCGTCAACGATCGACAACAAACTCTTGCAATATTTTAAATGAAAAGTTTACAAATGTAGTAGATAAAAATGTTCAGTCCATGGCAGAACGTACCCGCAAGCTAAGTCTCCTTCTAAAGTATGAAACGGAAATTCCAATTGTAAGTACTTACACAAAAATTATTAAACTACCTCCCTTTTTTATAACATTGCGGAGATTTAAAAATTTTAGTCTTGCATCGCAGTGAAGGAGACCTAATAAAGTATATATATTCATGATCAGTATCACTAGGAGAATCGATCTAGCCGTGTGCGTCTGTTCGTTTGTACGTCGGTCTGTCCGTCTTTCTGTTTATACGCAAGCAAGCCTCTTAGTATTCAGATTAACATTCAAGTTAGTGGAAAAACAGCGAAAATCTAATATTTAACAATTAATACTAATACAAATTTGAAAAACAGCAAAGTTTTAAATTTGTATATTTTAGTTTTTCAGTCAAAAGTTTGCAACGCGGTGAAGGAGACCCTATAAAGTGTATATATTCTTGATCAGCATCACTAGAGAATCACTATAGTCGTCTGTCTGAAAGTCATCTTAGCTTCAATGTTTTCAAACATGTACCCGTATAATTCGAAATTTAGATTTTTTAAAGAATATTTTTTGTGTGCAAAGCTATATTAATTTTGGTTTGCCGAAATTTGCTTCCTTTCTTGTTTTATTTAGTGTTCAGTTTAACAACTAGCATTAGCAAAGACATTATGCATTTTTTAATTAAATTTTAAACCGCTCTAAAAATAAATACAGAAAAGTTTAAAAAAATTATGGATTCGTGTTGTTGTTTTTGGGTTCCTCTACCGAAATACATATATATTCGGCCAGCCGAAGTTTATATACCCACCCTTGCAGCTATTGCAAAAATTAAATCAATCCAAAAGAATTAAAAAAGGAAATTTAAAATGAAAGAAGTTACGATTTTTTCTTAATTTATATGTTTTTAGGGTTTTAAAATGGGAGCTATATGATGTAGTAATCCGATTTTGATAAAACTTAAACTTTTGGTTATCGACGAACAAAAGAAAAATATTTAAATATGATATGAATGTAAATATAAACTTACATGTTTGAAAGAATATTTAATTTTTGCAATAGCTGCAAGGGTATATGAACTTCGGTTTGCCGAAGTTTGCTTCCTATCTTGTTTGTTTTAAATAATATTTAATTTTTTAATAGCAGCAAGGGTATCTAAAATTTGGCTTGTTGATTCTGCCTTATAATTTTCGACCGAGTTGATCTAGCTATGTCTGGCTTTCCTACTATTGCCTACTTATCCTACTTTATTGCTGGACACTCGAAAAAAATTGAAAATTAAAAAAAAATAGTTGTTTTTATACCCTTGCAGAGGGATTATAATTTCATTAAGAAGTTTGCAACGCAGTGAAGGAGACGTTTCCGACCCTATAAAGTATATATATTCTTGATCAGCATCACTAGACGAGTCGATCTAGCCATGTCCGTCTATCCGTCCGTTTATATGCAAACTAGTCTCTCAGTTTTAAAGCTATCTGCATGAAACTTTCCCAAAAGTTGTCTTTCGGAACGAGCCGGATCGGACGACTATAGCATATAGCTCCCATAGGAACAATCGGAAAAATAAATGAAAAAAAATTATAACTTTGCTGTTTTTTCATTTTTTGTTTAGTTCTTCGAGATATAGTAATGGTTAAATATTTTAGAATTATGGTTTAAATTTTATCAAAATCGGACGTCGATATCATATAGCTCCCATAGAACTAATAAAAATATATAAAATAACTATTTAATAATTGAGCTGCAAATCATCACAGCTTCACTGTTTTTCAGCATATACTCAAGTAAATCATAATTTAAATGTTTTCAAAAGTATTTAATTCATGCAATAGCTGCAAGGGTATATGAACTTCGGCTTGCCGAAGTTTGCTTTTTTTCTTGTTGAACATGTACTCGTGTGCTCTGAGTTGTAGTAATACGGTTTTAATTAGTAGTATAACTTTATTCAAAAAGCTAGCTAATTAAACGCATAAATATCAAGTAAGACTAGAGGCTCTTATCTAAATGTATATGGACAATAGCATAATTGTTTATTTATACATATATGAAATAATAAATAAGCTTTCCAATTGTAAGCGCGCAACAACTTTAAGAGTGTTCAATGGAGCAACTGTTAAGGCATGCGCAGTAGGAAGCCAAAATATTCTCTTAAATATTCGCTTTCGTACTCAGACTTGACCTTTTTTTTCTGTATACAGGAGCTTTTTCCAAGTTTTTAGTGTGTAAGCGTCAACCACACAAATGCCTACTTGCTGTAGCTCCATGAAAACGAAGCTAGGTGCAACAAAGAAGAATTTACTAAGTTGTAGTATACATTTCAACGTTTTTCAAATCACATCACTGCACAAGTAACTGTGCGTAGTAAATATACACAGTTTTAGTTGTCATATACAGATAAAATATTTTGAAAAATGCACTGCCTTATGTTTAACAATTGCGTATACATAATTGCGTATATATGGTTAAAGGATTTAACGGAGTTTTATTCTAAAAAAAATAAATAAAATTTGTGGCAGCTTCAACTGCCCTCAACACTCTGGTATACGAAACGACTTTAATGCTTTTAAATGGTGTTTGCTTTGGGCTTATACAGCTTAAAGTAAATTTTTAAGTAATTGTGCTCACGCATTTATGTGGTTGGATTTAACGCCACTTTCAAAGATGTTCATTTGTCCAACTTCCTAATAAGAAAAATCAAATATACATTTTTGTCAGGTCCTAAGTAAATAAAGCATTGAGAAAGTGCAATTTAAGAAAGCTTTTATTTGCATCCATGTATAAATATAATTTTCAATTTGTTTAACTTGTGTATACTTGTTTCTTAATTTTTCCCACTAACATCGAAATATTGTTATAGGTACATATGTATATAAGCATTCAGTATTTCAGACGATTTCGCGTTGACAATTGGATAAAACGTATGTATTTAACTTAGAACAAGAAAATCTGATTTTAAAAGACAAACCTATTTAGGTAAAATAACGTTTTACATTTAATAACGGCATTTCAAAACGATATGATGAACACATCTCAGCCACAGGCGCCGGGGACTCTAGAGAAAAAAAGTCAGTTCCGAAAGCAGGAACACAAATCCAACTCCGAGGAAAAGGTCGAGCATCAGCTTACGTTCGCAGAAAATACTCTAAAGACTCAGATTCAACTGAGGGAACAATTGCGACACCAGCAGCAGTCAACGATGTATGCGACTTCAGTATCCAACTCTTCTACTGGCGGACCAGCTCGGATCAACGGATCAGCTCAAAACCGATATCAGTCAGCGGAAAGGTCCGAATACCAGGTTAATTCAGCCCACCACCAAACAAACTTGATGCCTGCCCAGTCACAACTATTGCATTTGCAACCACCGTTAAGTAAGTCGCCATCAGGCTTGGATACCACTTACTCCAGCTATCCAAACACCAATGGCAGTATGGTGTCGATAAAAAGTGAACAGCAGTTGTGTCAGATATACAATTCGCAGCAGCATTCCGATTACATAATCTCCGATTATATGGATAAAATTGCGACGCGGATTAGTTTGCTCGAGACAGAGTTAAAGTTTGCTTGGCGAGCGTTGGACCTGCTTTCTACAGAGTACGGGAAAATTTGGATTCGTTTGGAGAAGCTTGAAAACATATCCGTAGAGCAACAGTCTGTGGTTAGCAATCTTATGGACCTAATCGGATCAGCAGCCCAGGAACAGCAGGAGGGCAACATCGAAGGTCTGGAATTCCCTTTATTTCAGGATGAAGATCAGCTGCTACCATTGGTATTAGAAGATGCCATGGGTGTAGACAAAGTCTTAGAAGACGAACCACCGGTTCCAGACTATGACAAAGAACTAAGTTTTGGAAACCATAATCACAGTGTAATGTCCCAGCTTACTCAGGTCCGCGATCCCGATGTATTTTCCAATTCAGCTTGTGCCCTGGACTCTCGCATCCCTTCTAATCCTTACTTTAGTTATGAAAATGTTGCTTTGAATAACCAAAGCTTGGGCTTCGGCAAGGCCGATGACCCTACTCTTAAGAGATTCCAGTCGGATACTGAAGCTTCATCGAGGATACAACTTTATTCAGATACTGACCTTATGTTGTACGAGAAACAGCAAATTCTGGCCAATAATGCACGGGCCGAACTAATGAAGGAATTTATAAATGGACGACGAGTGTTAAATGAGATTTCAGCATCCTCGGGTCAAAGTTTCAGGAAATGTTCCAGTATCTCACAGCCAAGAGAAGGACTTAAAAATGAGCAGTCGTATGTTGAATTAGACGGCGATCCCATAATACAGTCAAGCAACGCTTGTAATGAACTAGATAATCTTATCGAAGATGTTAAGTTTTTTCGTTTAGCAGCCTCTAAAACCGGCGAGGGTGGAAACCAAGTACTACCCATTGAAGATACTGGAGGAACGGAGATTTCAGCTAAAGCTGATGAAATGAGCGAATCTTTTTACAAAAAACTAAACGAGGCATATCGAGACAATGACTTAAGTTCTGAGATATTTAAAGTGGATGCATTGCTGTATCAGTCTGAGGCTACCCACGAAAAACTTGGATCAATCAGTGGCCATCCAGCGACCTCCTTAGACTCAAAACGTGGGGAGGGGAAGGACAATTTAGATATAAAGTCTTTAGACACTGCAAAGACCAGTCAGCCGAACAACAATTGTAGCAAGGAGTCAAGAAAACATCGAAAAAAAAAGCATCATACAAACGAAATGGACATGATAAATAAACTGAAGTGTATCCTTGCACAAGCTCAATCGTCACGGATTATTAATGGTGATACTGAAGAATTGAGTGCTGGACTGTTAGGTGTGCATACCGGTAATAAACAAATTGAAGTTCGAGCCGATAAGACACAGAATGGGTTAGACAATCGACTTTCACAAAATAGTATTTACTTGTTAAGTGATGACAACCGAATAATTTTAGACAACATAACAGAAACTCTAATAGAGGAAATAAATAAAATTCCAGGCCTGAAATCTTTAAGTGCATCACAAATTAGCCAATTACGCAGCACTGTATGGTCCGAAGAGAAGTTTTTTCAAAAACTAAGCCAGGTCGATAAAAAATTGACTCTGCTCTTACTTAACCCGATAACTGTAACTGAGGAGCTGCGAAGACATTGTATTACAAATAGCAATGAAAAATTTATTCTGGTTATGAAAAAGTTTAAAAAAAATATCGATACATTAAAAAAATTAGTTGGTAGCTCATTGGACGATTTTAAAACCGACAAACTGGGTGCAAAAACAACCTCAACTCATAGCGTCAGTCCCAATCTTACATCGAAAATAAAGGTTAGCAGTTTTAGTGCTCATTTATTAAGAAACAAATCAGATTTGGATGAACAGCTAAAGATTCTCGAAACGCAAGAGATTGAAATAAACCGAAAAAAAAATATAGACCAAATTGTAAGCGGGCTTAGTGGGGACATGGACCACTCTTTTAACCAAAATGTAAAATATGAAAGTAGTTACAATATTGACCCCACAGCTGATGATTTTAAAAGTTCATCGACAAATATTTATAGTGAAGATGAGTACATTAAGTCATTAAAAAAAAGTCTGGAACGTCACAACAGCATGATTTTTCTGCTCCATTTACAAAATCCTGAGAAACACAAGGTGTCTGCCGAAATGAATGATGCACTAATAGATTCAAATCGAGCCAGCCTCAGTCCCCCACCACCAGCTCCCAACGATATTCTTAACTTTAATGAGTCCGTAAATCAATTTAGTGTTGAAATAGACTCACATCAACAAAAGAATACGAAATCAGATTCGGGATTGTCGTCGATGAGCGGTTGGTCACCAAATTCCCCAGGGCCAGTTGGAATTCAAAACAGCAATTTTTTGTGTAGCAAAATCATTGATAAAAGTAATGATGATACATTAACAGGATACCCAACATTGCCATTAGCTGGAAGTTCCAACCTAAATAGCATACGAACTGGTTATGATAAAAATAGTACTGGCAAACAAAATGATTATGTAATATCAGAAGAAAACTTAAACTACATTCACGAGCTTTCTAAGAATTTACCGATTTGCTCTGCTTATGAAAATAGGTCAATTTTCGATATAAATTCCGACGCAAATGACATGGAAAAATGTTCAACTGTTGACGAAATGATAGAATGGGATCAGCTTAATCAGCAGGATACAAAAAATCTTTCAACGGAGCTGTCGAACTCCACCCGTATGCCAGACCTGTTGACTACTGAAACAAATAAATCAACTGCAAGGTCTATGGTAAACAACAAATTCCCAAATGTTAATCTAGGAAATGTTAAAAGACAAAACGATGACGGCATATTAAGATATAGCCATGTAGAATCAACTATGGATTACGAAAAAACGGTGAATCAATGTAATAGACGTTATTTAACAGACAGACTAGTATTCTATCCGTCTTCCAACTCTATTATTGATTACAATAGCAGCAATAACTTGGATTACTTAGGTCAACAGAACCAAAAACGGTTTACTAGAGAGCCCGGGTCTAAGCCTGCTCTTGAAGCACCACAGATTCATCATAATTTTACTGCTAATACTTATTCCCAAGCGCAGCTGGGAAATCTTGTTGGCCCGACTGGCTCAGGTCAATCAGAACTATGTTTTAACTCTGTACCTATGATGAGTTCTGCCGATCCTTCGAGCAATATTAAAAGACATTCACGACTTGGGCCAGGAGTCGGGCCTGCTAAGCCCGCAAAGGTATGGAACAAGCTAAATACCCTCTTGGTAGATAATCTAAAAATTAAGCGTATATCCAAGTTTAATCGATCACAGTCATTACCCGGTGATGTGCAAAGTCAAGGTAATCAGAGACAGCCTCGTGGCCAGGCGGGTTCGTGTCCGTTTATTTCTCATAAGCGTTCTAATGTAACTGGAAACCAGGTTCAGCTATCAAAGAGAATACAAAAGCTACCGATGCGTCTTATACGTAGGGCGACAGGATCCCCATTTGGGCGACGGTTGTCTCACACCGACTCCGCCGCTTCATCAGATTCCGCTGCCGATGAGCCTTCTTTAACAAGTGACACAGCTGGACAAAAGAAGTCATTTTCATCTAAGATGAATAATCTTATGAAAAAGGCGAAGACTTACAAGCGGCACAGCTTTGACCTGCGCCGCGGCTGTAACATGTCGGACATTGAAATAGATTTGCCGGACTTTACCTCATCGGATAACGATAAAAGCTCTGTATTCGAAAGTAAAATTATAATGAATCATCACGGGGTTAATGCAGATAAAGATTTTAGTGACCAAAATACCTGTGCCTTTGAGGATGAACAGGACTCAGATAGTTCCATGAAGGACATTAATGAGAGTCTATCAAACAATGTATTTGCTGTGGTAGGAGACCTTAAAAAGATGCAAAACCCCATACCACTGGCCGTCTCAACAGCATTGCCTTCTACTGAGGCAGCAAACAGTAGGGAAATTGGCAATGTGGAAAATATGACCATTAAAATGCCAGAGATACTCTTAGAAACATCATCACAGGCATGCCTTCAGAAGCTCAACTCAGTCTGTATAGACGATGTCGACGATGAGAACATTCTTGGAAGTTCAGTCAATATTGGTGAGAATGTCCCCACCCTCAATATACTTAAAACTACTGAAGAAGCTGGGGACACGCCATTCAACACATTCCTAGCAACGACAACAGCCACAACCGTCAGTCGTAACCTCAATGGCAGTGGTGTTTTGTGGGTCACTCAGCAGTGCTTAGACCTTCCAAACAATTCGAGCTATGGGCCGCGGGAGGATGACGATAATCGAAGTCAGCACTCTGCTCGCACTCTCTCTTCTTCTCGCCGACAAAGCACTGAGGATAGCATCGACACAGACGACGAATACTTTTATTATGAACTTCGCCAGTTGGAAGAACAGGAACAGCAACGGACAGAGCAGTCCGGGATTGTCTCTTGCGAACAAAGTGAAGATAATGAAGTTTTGTTTTCACAGATAGGACAACTTCTCCAAAACGATGTCAACGGAGGAGACCGTTTTCAACAGTCTGATTTCTGTAAGGATGGGGAAGACACCATTAATTATTCTCCAAATGAAAGTGTAAAGTTGCGGATGTCTGAGGTATTTTGTGAACTCAAACGCGTCGTTAATTTACAGTCCGGCGACAGTAAGATACACACAGCTTCTGATGTTGTTATTGAAGATTTTGCAGTTGTAAAGCCAACAGGTGAACAATTTGCTACAGTCAGTGACATGCATAGCGCTTGGCAGGATATAAACGGCGATTTTCAAAATACGGCTTCAGAAGTGGATTCTAATGACGATGCCGAGATGGAAAACAATGGCGGGGGGACTCTTCATTATTTAAATAATAAGCAGCGAAAGTTGCGACGATTAAAAAGAAAAGCACGCGATCGGAAAGTTAATATTTCTAACAAAACAGCCAGTTCAAGTTCCTCTTGCCATTCTGAAAATGAATATGAGCAGGAGCAACACAGTCAACATTTTGAGCAATGTGTTCCGAAATCCGACGCAGAAAAAGAAGAAAAGGATATATCAATAAAATCCACGGCATCTAGCGAAACATCTGGACCCGATACGCCTGCTGAGATGAGTGATGTTGAGATGAGTGAAAATGGCATGGAAAATGGCGTGAAGGCTAAGGTCCATACATCAGATAATGCAAATTTGCATGATACAATCAGTCCAGGTATTCCTTTAAAAGTGGATCAAAAGTCAATACTTCAATCTGATGAAGATCTTAATGAGCACAAACTAAATAACCACTCTCAGACTAATACGAATTTATCGGAGGTTCCATCTCAAAGCCCAGACTTAAATAGGCTAAAAAGTCAAGAGTTAGATGTTGACGGATCCCAGGCTGCGGGCAGTATTGGTGCCGCAGCAGGTCTTGGTAGCAGCAAGTGGAAGTTGTTAAAAACTTTAAAGGAGCGCAAAATCGAGGAAAAAAATAATCAAGATAAAATTAAAGAAGATGAATTGACTAAGGACAGAGAAAAGGTAATTAATGCGAATTTATTATTTTTAATATATGTTTTGAATAAGTTTCTTTCTTGCGAGTATCTACTTTTGCAATAGAGACTTATAATTATCAAAAGAATTCTCGCCTGATATACATCCAAGATCTCAAATATTTGAAAACTACGTGTTTAAACTGCTCCGTGCAATGCTTATTTTTAAAACTAAGAATAGTTTTTATTAAGTACATGGGTTACCTAGTTCTAAGCCAACATTTTCCTTTTTATCTTCTTCTCTGCTCACGGCACGGTCCACGTAGTGACAAAGCGCACTGAGTATATAAATCTGCTACAATTGTTAGACGGCTCGACAGGCCTAGAATATATTATTTAATAGTTAACACTTACTTATCAAAATATTTTAATAATTTAAGAAAAATTATGCCTAACTAAATTAATTGGTCAGAAAAGTATTTACCAATTAGTTTCTCATTTTTTTAATGCCTTTAAGAAAACCTTACAAACTTGATATTTTGAGTTTGCACACAATACCGATTCCGATTCATTTGCCTTTCAAAAATAATCATTTGTCAAATAAGTCTATCATGAAAAATATTGCAATATGTCACTAACAATAACTAATTAGCATACATATCTGCAAATATTAGCAGCAAGTTTGCTTTTCTATTCAACGATTTGTAGGTGCCAAAAGTACCATAGTCATTTTCAAAAATTTGAACACTTAGTGTGTGAAATAAAAACAAAATTATGAAATTTAAATGCTTTTAACAATCAATAGATGTCTAAAATTGAGTTACGGCAAACGAAACTATCGTTGTAGGAAGTGCAATGTGTGATGAAAAATTAAAAACGTTGTGGTTGCGTTAAAAATGAGTCTGAGCAAAACTTCAATTAAGCCACTAATAAACAATATATAATATAATAATAATTTTTGAGTTTTGGTGAACATTAGTTAACTACTTTTATTTTCTTACAAAGTGGAGTTTTAGACGAAGGCTAAAAATAAAAATATATATTTATTTTAAGGCTGGTTCTCCCCTTGTGGACCCGAAAGAAAGATTTTTTTTGAGAAAACGATTTATATCCTAGTTTTTAGCTTTATATCTTTTAAAGCTAAAAAATAGGATATGAATACACATTTATTAGCATAATACAATTTTTTAAAATTGTATGAATCAATTTAAAAACTGGGGCAGGCGGCTTGTCGGCGAGGATGTGTTCCGCTACCAGAAGTGATTCCGTCAAAACCCGTGATCTGAAACACAAAACCCAAACCCATTCTTAATCTGTACCGTATTACTTTCCAAACATTGCGGTTTATTTGTGAAAAGCCACTCCATGCATTTTCAGTTCGCGCAATGGGCCCCAATGGGCTCTTGCAGCGTTTTTATTGAAAAATCATATTTTCAGATGAATCTTATTTCCATCTCGCTGGGTACGTCAATAAGCAGAATGCGGTATGTGTTCAGGCGACACCATTGAGCCGATTTTCCTTAATAAAAAACAGCTTTTATCGCCCTTTAAAAAGACACCCTTTATGTAATTGAACATATCCAATTTTGGATTTTTGAATGTTCAATAGAAAATATAAATAAGTCCTGATTTATTAAACGTTTCTACAATTTATTTTTATTTTTTCAGAATGGCGGTGGTACTGGAGAAGTTGGTTTGCGTTCCAATGGTCATCCCGGAGATAATCCTTTCTATAGCAATATTGACAGTATGCCGGATATACGTCCTCGTAGAAAATCCATTCCCCTTGTGTCTGAACTGGTAAGCCCTCTATCAATTTCTTGATTTATTTTACCTCTCAAAGCAAGGATACGAATACAGGCAACACTCACTAGCACAATTAAAACAATAAAATAGATATTTTTGTGATGATACATGGATCCTCTATGTTAAAAGACAAGTACTTAATAACCTAATCATCTATGAACCTTTGCTTACTTTTGTATACCCTTATTAAAATGTCGTTTTCTTTCGTCGATGATTTGATGGACGGCAGGTTCTCAAGGTATAGACTATAGACTTCCAATTGTAACACTTTTATTATACAATTTTAACTAGCAGTTTTAAAATAAAAAAGTAATTTCTATTTACTTTTACATTCACTGATACATGCCAAGTGCAACATTTATTGTTGTTTTTGTTTTAAATGTAGTTGTGCACTGTAGACTCCATAAAACACAAATTTTAACCGCAAACTCAAAATAACCCGATGGGAAAACATAAACATATATTCTGATCTGCAACTTAAAAAGAATAACACAATATTTAACAAACTTTAAAAAGGCGTAGAGAAAAACCTAATATATATTAATATAGGTGTGTAGTGAAATAAGGTATAAGAAGATACAAATGTTATTGAAAATGAATATATTTATTTTTGTTCACACAAAAAATTTTTTACTGTTTTTTGTGAACAAAAATGGGTGCATCTAATTTATATGTAGAACATGTTTAGGCGATAATTGATATTATTCACTTTAAAAAATACACAATCTGTGAAATAATCAATTTAACGAGAAAGCTGTTGGTCTACATCAATAGTTCTTTTATTAAAAAAAAATAATTAATATTTGAAGGGCAAACAGAAAACATTGTTAAGAACGATCCCTTACAATTAATGTTAGAATCTTCAATCGCAGTTTTTTGAAAAAGTCACTTTTAGTTTAAAGTTTCGCGTTTTTTAAATATAAAATAAAGGTATGGCAAATATTTTTTTGAGGATTTGAGGATTGCCCATATATAAAATGAGTGTCACGATGAAGACTTTAGGTGCGTACGGAGAATTGTTTTACGGGACTAAAAAAATGTCAGTGTTCGTGTTCCATGGTTAGTTGAGTATGTTAAGGTCAATTTTAATTTAAGCTTCTTTTTCCAACTCATAAATGTTTTCAAAAGAAAGTACCTCGACACCGCAGTTACCATTTTTCAATGTTAAGTCCACCCTTAGATCCTGTTAGAGAAAATTGAAATTGACAAACATTAAAAGTTGGTAAACTCGCCCGCACCACTGGGCCATATATAATTGCGTGTTTTCACTTAACAACCGTTAAAATTAACAACTTCTTGTGTCTTAAAATATTTAGAGCAAAACACTTAAAATAGTGTATTTTTATATACTCATACTCATTAAAAATAAAAAATAGATATAAGTATAATTTACGTAAAAGTAAATTTCGACTCGTCGGAGTTCTCCCGTGCAGCAAACATATTTCGTTTCTGGATTCTTTTATTGATTTATATTTTCTATTTTTTCCGGTTTTTTTTGTAGCCGTACATATTCCAAAATTACGCTTGTAATTTTTCATCGCATTCGGTTTCTATAAGTTCAAAAGTTCTGAATATTTACACTAGTTAAAAACAGCTTTTTTGATTTTATTCTTTCAGGAGGCGCAATGTTAAGCAAAAAAGTCTTTTATTTAGCTTTAATTTTCCTAGCAAAACAAGTTTAAATAACTAATCAACTATGATTACAGTACAAAAATTAAACGCGTCGCGCCATTGTTTTTTTCTTTTGTACAAAATTTTTTTTTTCAAAACATGATCAGGTGTATTTATTTGGCTTTCGAATGTTTCTTTACAAAGGTGACGATCTAAGCTAGTCCCATTTTTATATAACCCCACTGAAAAATATATATGCAAGGGTAAATAAACCTCGGCTTGCCGAAAGGTTTTAAAATGGCATCCTGGCCAAAATCATACCCTAAGTTACTTGAAAAAACTGCAGGTAGACATTATAATTAAAAATCCTATATCCAGCACATTCCCAAAGTATAATTTTTAAACAATTTTTAGAATCGCTGTGTTCATCTTCGCTCTGTCTCTCTACATTACCAATTTTGCCCGCAGAGCAGCGGCAGAGCGGCGGCAGAGGACTTTATAACTCAATAGCTTCTAGAGTGAAAATCTGCCAAATGCTTTTGACATTTTAGGTTCGCAACAAAAAAAATACATTTGGGCAAGTTTTAAGAATTTTAAAGTCTTACGGAAGTTACAGGGGTTTAAGAAGTCAACTTTGTGTATACACAGAAAAAATAATCGCGTATATTAATTTTTGTGCTCAAAAAAATCCAAGAGCACAAATAATTATTTTAAGCAATCTGTTCTCAAACTGATAGTCTGCCAAAAAAAATAAAAAAAATGTGAAAGACATTTCCGACCCTATAAAGTATATATATTCTTGATCAGCATCACTAGAAGAGTCGACCTGGCCATGTCCGTCTGTCCGTCCGTTTATATCTGCATGAAACTTCGGAAACAATCCGAAAAAATTTGAAAAAAAATACTTGCTGTTTTTCATTTTTTTTCTGTTAGTTCTTCGATATATTGTCATGGTTTGTTATTTAAATTTCACGGTTTAAATTGAATTTAAATATATATACATATATATAAACCTCCAATGGGAACAATCTGAATTAAAAAAAAAAAAAATAAAATAAAAAATAAAAAACGTTTTTAATTTTAAATTTGTTTTAAATTCTTATGGAAATAGTAATAGCTTAATAATGCACAGGTTTACAAATTTAAAAATTTAGATATCTTCCAGAGGATAAACCTTAATTTTCCGTTATCTACACATTAAAATAATGGTACCATACAAAAAATGTTGAGTATAATTTTTTGAATTAGTGAGTCCATCTGAACCATCTGATCTCTAGAGGAGTTCAACGATTATAATTTGCTAATCTGTGTAATTGAACTTATATTCATCATACTTTCAATGTTTTTAAACATATGCGCATGACATATATTTCGAAGTTTAGATGTTTTAAAGAATATTTAATTTTTGCAATATCTGCAAGGGTTTATAGACATCGGCTTGCTGAAGTTCGCTTCCTTTCTTGTTTTGTTTGTTATACATACATAACACATATAGAAATTTAATTTGAAAACTACTGTTTTGTCGGTCTTCTGTGTTAGCTTGTAGTGCTACTATTGTTTGTCTATAAACATTATTAGTTGTTATATTATTATTTTAAATGAAATGAAAGCACATGTCCGACTGCGAATTGATCCCGGAAGCTTACGCACTCTAGAACATAGCCTCAGGTACATCTGTTTAAATTGAAATTTCGAATTTTGAGTATATCAATTGCGGTAATTTTTTGAAATGGTAAAGTCGGGATCTCGATAGTCGACTTCCAGGTCCGCTAGACCACGGGTTTTGAATACATTTTTTTTACTATGAGACATTATTTTCTCAAGTTCAAAATTCAAGTACACATATACTCAATTTCAGTATATTTTGGAGTTGTTAGGCAAAATCTGTACTCAAAATGAGTACATTGAAATTCTCGATTTCCCAACATCGGAATTTTCTGTGTGGAATTTGCATAATAGATCTCGACGCTCATACGAACTAGCGGACCAACATATGGACATGGCTATATCAACTTGGCTATTGATCCTGTTCAGGAATATACTTACTTTATAGGGGGTACCTGTTACAAAACACCATTTACTCTACGAGTAACGGGTGAATCAACTTTTCTAGGAATATCAAAAACTAATTCAAATTAAATTAAAATAAACGCTGTCGTAGTGCCTACTATTGTTGCAATTGTTTATTGCCGAAGAACATATCATTTAAACAATAAGTACATAATGAAAAGCATATTCAATAAAAATGTCATATAGTAAGCTGTCTTGAGTAACTGATGATTTTTGATTCTTTTGACCGACGGCTCTCAGGCAGAGCTACAACATACGCCCGCAAGAAAGGATCAATGTAATCTGTTAAGTTTGCATGCAAATGATCACATCACGGTTGGTAGACAACAACGTACACGCTTGCAATGCATATCTATTAGAAACCATAGAAAGACCTTGAACGAAAACAAAAATTTCGATTTTCGGATAGATGCGATTCCAAATACAAAAACTGTTACTAATAATTAAGAAATAAACATGTTGTATTCGTATATAACGATCAGTGCACTTTTAATTGTATTTATCTCAAATTTGTCATTTGTTTCAACGACTTTTTTTCCTATTTGCATTCTGCCTGTTATGCTTCTTTAAATTATTCTTGAAGCTTAAAACCATATTGTATTTACTTAAGTATCTGCAGTAGAGTTGCGATGAAGTAGCTTTATTTGCTTAGTATGTTTTGACAACCAAGTTTTAATAGAAGAACTTTAAAATTATACACTCACCAAATACATACCTGTACTCTCAGAAGGCTAATTTATCTATATGTCCCTTTAGACGATGGCCGCTACAAAACGAAATGCTGGACTTACATCCGCTGTACCTCGTGCAACGCTAAACGACGAAGAACTGGTGAGGAAAACGTTACCTCAATGATAATTTCTTAACTTAATTTCAGCATTGGTAGCATGAGTTTCGTAAATCAACTATTGACAACTTCTAATGTTGAACAATTTTCTTAAATTAATTAACTAAGATGACCATTAAGATGTTTTATTTGATTCATTGTTTTAGAAACATTGCCCGTAACAACGCCTTTGCCGGGTTTTGATTTAAGTTTTCGATATACTTCTAATTAAATCAGTCACTTTGAAGTTTTAAAGCTGAAAAAGGGTATTTTTTTTCAATCGGTATCTTTTTTCATCCCATAGAAAATGCACGTGTATAAAAAAGCTCTACAGGCCCTGATCTACCCCATATCATCGACAACGCCACACAACTTCCTGTTGTGGACGGCAACGTCACCAACCTACTGCTACGAATGCGAGGGTCTACTGTGGGGAATCGCACGGCAAGGAGTACGGTGCACTGAGTGCGGTGTTAAGTGCCATGAAAAGTGTAAGGACCTGCTGAATGCTGATTGTCTTCAGCGTAAGTATTGTGAACTTATAGGCGTACTCGAAAGATCTATTAGCTCCTTTTTATTTGGATAAAACTAGGTGCTGCCGAAAAGAGCTCAAAACACGGTGCGGAGGATAAGGCCAATTCGATCATTACAGCCATGAAGGAGAGAATGAAACAACGAGAGCGAGAGAAACCAGAAATTTTTGAGTTGATCAGGTAATATTATGCTTAAAATATTGACTTGACTAGTGCGGATAAACGCAGCGATTAAAACATATAATTTTCCTTTAACGGGGGTACTACATAGTTCTATGCAAAACACTTGATTTGCCTATATTAACATGTTATGCAGTCTCAAATCGTACACGATAAAACACAAACAAGTTTGTTAGCTAGTTTTGTAAGCGGCCAAAACCAATAAACATAAAGATAGTAAAATTTGACCTGGGATTCATCCGTATAGAGCCGTGTTCAGCGTTGAGGAGAAGAGTCACACCGGTCATATGAAGGCTGTTAAACAAAGCGTCCTGGATGGCACAAGCAAATGGTCGGCCAAGATAGCAATCACAGGTTTGAGATTGTACAAAACTAACTTCTTATCGTCGTAATTTTCTGTTGTCGGTTATTTTGAATTGGATGTATGTGAATGTATTTGCAATTCGCATTTGAATGACACGCTGTATTTATTATTATTATACTGGTCTATGAGAATACAATATTGATTTACAATAATGAATGTGCGATTATATGTAACTGTATATTATTTTTGTATTTGAGAAATGTGTGATACGCATGTACGCATTAAATTCAGGTACATTTGTGAAGCCCACGTATAAAATAAATCGCAATTATATTTAATTTGTAAACTAATAATGGCTCTAAACAAAACTAACATTTTGTGGATTAATTCTATGTGTGGGCTTCACACCGAAATGTTAGATACGAAACATTTTTATCGTTTACAAATGCAAACACATAAATAGGATCAACAAGATCATAGGATTGTAGTCATGTGTAAAGGTCCAATAATATACCTCCAAGGGGAAGAAACGTGTGCACCCGCCTAGCCAATTCAATAACATACTTTTAGTGTTTTGATATTTCAGAAGCATTTATGGAGTATCCAAAGTAAACCCGAATCATAAATGTATGTAATCGATTTTATTTAAGGATGACATTCGGTGTGGATCCTGATACACACATAGATTCATTAGAACAGGCTGAGCACGCTACTGTTGAGGGAACATCTAAGTGGTCATGCAAACTAACTATTACAGGTACACAAACAACGCCATTTGGCATTCAATGCATTCCTTTTTTTTATAGTTTTTCGTTTTGGTTTTAATTTAACTACGCCCAAAGTAATTATTGTAATTAATTACTGGATATCATACATTTTTTTATACTGATCTTTAGTTTCACGTTTTCGTTAAGTTAATTTTTGTCATGAAATTGTTATTTTGATATGTTATATATAACACTGCTACCTTTCAACTCATATTTATTTAGTTATAACAGTTCTAAAGGAAAGGTATTTTTTTCTTTAAAAATTAAACAACCAAATTAACGGTAAAAACAATTACTTAAAAAATTGTACATAAATATTGTAAGTTTATTTTAGCCTATTAACGGTTTTCAAGGCAAAACAGGAAAGGAAGCAAACTTTGTCAAGCCAAAAGATTATATACGCTTCAAGCTATTGCAAAAATTAAATATTCCTTAATCCACCTAAATTTCAAATTATTTTAGTATGCGCTTCATTCACGCTATAAATATTCTCTATGTCCAAAAGAATTTTAAAAAAATTGAAAATTAGAAAAGTTTAATCTGTTTCCCTTTATTTTTATACCCTTGCAGAGGGTGTTATCATTTCAATCAGAAGTTGGCTTTGGTTTATTTCATGTACACTTTGCAGTAAGGCTATACTCAGGCTATAGACACTAAACAAAATTAGTTAATAGAGAGAGCGAACTTTAACTTCAATTAAAGTGTTTTACGGATTTTTCTTTGTTTGTGTTTTTTTTTCTGCGAATCTTAACTCATACTTAACAAAAAGGAAGCAAACTTCGGCATGTCTAAGGTTATATACCCATTGAGATTTTCCAAAAATAAATACTTGTACTTTCTACGAAAACTAGCCTTCAAACCTTTTTCCCAAAAGTTACCTTTGTATTGCAGGTAGTATAATAGGCGGAACAAATGACAAAATCATATAGTTCCTATATAAATAATAGAAAACATAAATAAAAGCAAATTACAACTTCGTTGTTTTCACATTTATAAGAGTACACTCAAACACTGAGAAAAAAAACCAAAACTAGTCATCAAACCGGTTTTTTTTTAATAATATTGATTCAACATAAGGCGTTCCAATTTAATATTTTTGAACACAACAAACCAATAATTTGGAACATATTACTATTGTATTTTTTCATATCACATTAATATGCTTTGCATATCAGAATTTTTATATTTTTTCATAACTAGCTGATAGTATTTTCGTATTATTTTGTAATTGTTTTCATTTAAGGGTGTTATGTATTCCCAAAATACCCAGTATATATTTATACCCTCGCAGAGGGTATTAAATTTTAAGTCAGAAGTTTGCAGGAGACATTTTCGATCTGCATGAAACTTTCCCAAAAGTAAAAACGAGCCCGATCGGACAACTATAAATATATTATAGCTTCCTTTGGAACAATCAAGAAAAAAAAGGTATAACTTTGTTTCTTATTTTTTATTATTTTTTTTTCAATATTTAGTGATGGTTTATTATTTTGAAATTACGGCTTAACTTTTATTAAAATCGAGCGACTATATCATAAAGCTCACAGAAAAAACATCAACAAATTAAAAAAAATTAGAAATTATAAAACAATTGTATTTTCTCCAATTTTGAAATTTTTTAATTTAAATCGGAAAACAATGTCATATAGCTGTCATACGAACGATCGAATAATTGAAATAAAAATCATGTTCTTGCTTCCATTCTTGTTTTAAAATGCATTGATTATTTATTTAAATCACATTTTCTTAATCTATTTTCTGAAAACATTATTGCATAAATTTATTATGATAAAAATGTTTGCCTAAATTATATTAGTGTACATTTTTTACTTGTAATGATTGTTAATAAAAATCTTTTAGCAGGCCATATGGGAAAGAGGCAAGCCATTGTTTTCCAGAAACATAATTAAAGCTTCTTCTTTCATTGTAAACTATCAAAGTATTCGTTCCTTATTACACGAATTGACACTGTTTAAAACTTTTCGTAGAACTGCGGCGTGACCAGAGCGTATTCATTAAGTAATACCTTAGTATGTTAAATATATTACAGTATCGAAGTCATTTCGAACTATTAGCCTGACACCATTGCGCATTTAGCATTTAGCTTATGCTACTCCGACATGTGAATGACAGCTGATCGGGGTTTGTTTACTTTTTAATTGTTGCAAATCCAAACGAAATTAATTACAAATCATTAGTTTGAGTGAGTTAACGGAAGACTTTAATGCTCAGCAGGATATTAAACGACAAGTAAGGGGAGCTGATGGTGTTGTTTGACGGGTTTGGTAAGGAGACCACCACAGTTTCTAAAAAAGAGCAAGGATCCCCATATATGTGGGTCTTTTTTCCTACAAGATATCCAGCAGTAAATAATTGTGGTACTGCGACCAGGATTTGCTGAGCTTACTCTTCTTTTCAGTAATTTTTATGCAAAACAGATTTTATATTCGAAAGAAATCCAAAATTTCGCCATATAAAAGCCTGCAGTCGTAGTGGTTGCACTAACGAAATATTTTTAAACATTCATATTTTCCGGTATATTTTCTAATATCAGTTGGGCAAGTGATTTTTAATCGCACTTAATTATGGCATTTATTTTAAGTGCGGCTTTTAGCCTCATAGGAATCCCTGTGTAAATAAAAACTCATTAGGCTTAAATTGTTTTTATGCGCCAATGGAATCAGGCTATAACATTTGATACAAAATAATATTTATGTGTCGTGTATTCAAATTAGTAAATTAGGATATGTTTTCGTATCTTATTGATATGTAAAAGTTCTTTTAATCTATAACAAGAAAGAAAGCAAACTTCGGCAAGCCGAAGTTCATATACCCTTGCAGCTATTGCAAGAATTAAACATTTTTGAAAACATTAAAATTATGATTTACTTTCGTATATGTTTAAAAACATTGAAGCTATGATGATTTGCAGCTCAATTATTTGATAGTTATTTTATATATTTTTATTATTTCTAAGGGAGCTATATGATATAGACGTCCGATTTTGATAAAATTTAAACCATAATTCTGAAATATTTAACCATTGCTATATGTCGAAGAACTAAACAAAAAAATAAAAAACAGAAAAGTTATAATTTTTTTCATTTATTTTTTCGATTGTTCCTATGGGAGCTATATGATATAGTCGTCCGACTTTGATGAAATTTAAACCGTAAATCGGAAATATGTAACTATTACTAAATGTCGAAGAACTAAACAAAAAATTGAAAAACAGCAAAGTTATAATTTTTTTCATTTATTTTTCCGATTGTTCCTATGGGAGCTATATGCTATAGTCGTCCGATTTTGATGAAATTTAAACCGTAAATCGGAAATATTTAACCATTACTAAATGTCGAAGAACTAAACAAACAAGAAAGAAAGCAAACTTCGGCAAGCCGAAGTTCATATACCCTTGCAGCTATTGCAAGAATTAAACATTTTTGAAAACATTAAAATTATGATTTACTTTCGTATATGTTTAAAAACATTGAAGCTATGATGATTTGCAGCTCAATTATTTGATAGTTATTTTATATATTTTTATTATTTCTGAGGGAGCTATATGATATAGACGTCCGATTTTGATAAAATTTAAACCATAATTCTGAAATATTTAACCATTGCTATATGTCGAAGAACTACACAAAAAATTAAAAAACAGAAAAGTTATAATTTTTTTCATTTATTTTTCCGATTGTTCCTATGAGAGCTATATGATATAGTCGTCCGATTTTGATGAAATTTAAACCGTAAATCGGAAATATTTAACCATTACTAAATGTCGAAGAACTAAACAAAAAAATAAAAAACAGAAAAGTTATAATTTTTTTTCATTTATTTTTCCGATTGTTCCTATGGGAGCTATATGCTATAGTCGTCCGATTTTGATGAAATTTAAACCGTAAATCGGAAATGTTTAACCATTACTAAATGTCGAAGAACTAAACAAAAAATTAAAAAACAGCAAAGTTATAATTTTTTTCATTTATTTTTCCGATTGTTCCTATGAGAGCTATATGATATAGTCGTCCGACTTTGATGAAATTTAAACCGTAAATCGGAAATATTTAACCATTACTAAATGTCGAAGAACTAAACAAAAAATTGAAAAACAGCAAAGTTATAATTTTTTTCATTTATTTTTCCGATTGTTCCTATGGGAGCTATATGCTATAGTCGTCCGATTTTGATGAAATTTAAACCGTAAATCGGAAATGTTTAACCATTACTAAATGTCGAAGAACTAAACAAAAAATTAAAAAACAGCAAAGTTATAATTTTTTTTCATTTATTTTTCCAATTGTTCCTATGGGAGCTATATGCTATAGTCGTCCGATCCGGCTCGTTCCGACTTATATACTACCTGCAATAGAAAGACAACTTTTGGGAAAGTTTCATGCAGATAGCTTTAAAACTGAGAGACTAGTTTGCATATAAACGGACGGACAGACGGACAGACGGACAGACTGACAGACGGACAGACGGACGGACAGACGGACAGACGGACATGGCTAGATCGACTCGCCTAGTGATGCTGATCAAGAATATATATACTTTATGGGGTCGGAGATGTCTCCTTCACTGCGTTGCAAACTTCTGACTGAAATTATAATACCCTCTGCAAGGGTATAAAAATTGAAAAACAGCAAAGTTATAATTTTTTTCATTTATTTTTCCGATTGTTCCTATGGGAGCTATATGCTATAGTCGTCCGATTTTGATGAAATTTAAACCGTAAATCGGAAATTTATTTAACCATTACTAAATGTCGAAGAACTAAACAAAAAATTAAAAAACAGCAAAGTTATAATTTTTTTTCATTTATTTTTCCGATTGTTCCTATGGGAGCTATATGCTATAGTCGTCCGATCCGGCTCGTTCCGACTTATATACTACCTGCAATAGAAAGACAACTTTTGGGAAAGTTTCATGCAGATAGCTTTAAAACTGAGAGACTAGTTTGCATATAAACGGACGGACAGACGGA